CGTTTGTTATCAAAGATTCAAGAGAGAGTAAACAAGGATAGTGGAAACAAAAGATTACATATAAAACAAAATCATAACATACTTTCTAGAGACTAAACTTAACAGGCTAACCTCCTGTCTAAAGCAGTTTATCTCCCCCGCCCCCAAAGTCCTCCACGGCATTTCAACCAAGGCTGGCTGAGATCTTGTGTTCATGAATATAAATGCACTGCCCATTTACTTCCTAGGTGTAAGATAAGAGGCTGTCTTCTTGCCTTCTACTTTTACCCCCAAAGTTTCATTTTGTCTGCTCAGAAACAGGACAGCCCCTCATTGCTTGTTTTTTCTGTACACTGCTCCCCCGTTCACTTCACATTTCTCTGACTGTATGTAAATCAATATCCATTTTGCTCCCTTACAATGTTTAATTTACATCTCAATAGGGAGACAAGTAAGTAAATGTATTTTGTCTGATGGAGGAGCAGTTTGTCAACTCTGTCTTAATACAGCCTTTAAGAACTTATTTTGAACCTACTCTTTATATAGCATCTATACATACATTTCACAATGATATTAATGACCAGTGTGACCCTGGCTCTCTTTTAAGACCTCACATGACATTCTTTGGTGAACCAGAATGTACATACCAGAATCGTTCCTGTGACCCCCCCTTCCCAGTTGTCATTGAGGGATTCTTGGGTCACAGAAGTGGACTCAGTACTTCTTATGTGGAATAGCCATCAGAGGGAGACAGTCATAGTCTCCTCATGTGTGCTTTATTAAGTATTGTTGTTATATTCTAATAATGGAAGGTGGTGGGCTGCTTCATGGAAAGCAGTAGTGACTTCACTGAGATGAAGGATCTTTTTATTTGGAGAAAACATTGGCATTTCTCGCTTGTAATATATGTAACCACTAAAATGAATTCTGCACATGCAATATTGATGTTTCTCCCTGAATTTGTGGACAATGTGCTGATTTTGAGCAGTGCATTGTGTGTTTTGATTTTCATGGATTTCAGCCTAATCCTCCTGGAATTTTTCTTTTCATATGTTAAGCCAGTTTACAAAGTGGAAATAGTTGCTGGGCTCATTGGGAATGACAGGTTTGGTGTTTTGCACAAGTGGTGCTGTGTGTGAAATAATTATGTTTGCATTTAATGGAGATAGTATTGTGGAAGTAGAGAAGCACTGACAGGGATTTGAAAGGGATTTCAATGCGAACGCTCGCTGTTAGCAAGAGTCAGGCTAACTGTAACCCTATAACGCGAGATTTGTAGAAGCGAGGATTGTGTGAGGCGATTGGGAAAGAACGGTGTGAGAAGTTGTTGCGACCTTGTGTAGATAAATATGGGATGTAGACTAGAGTCTGAATAAGTGAGAAAAATAAGATATTAAGATGACCTATGTATAAACAAAATGCAGCTGTTGCTCATTATTGCATGTAACAAAAGATATAAATGTTTGCTGTAATTGTTTACCTGGAGAGAGACCTGTTTAGCTCTCTCCCTCCACACAATTGCTAGAGATGATAAAGTATCTGCACCCAACCAAAAGAGTGAGAACTCTGTTTTTCTCCGACAGTATGAACTAGTAGGGCATCCCATTGTGACTACATTAGACAGTGGTTTGCACATATGCCATGCAAAGTACCTTGCATTTGGAAAAGCTAACGTGCTTACATAGCTCACTTACATAAGGGATGACATGGAAACCAGTCTGCATCACCGACAAGTGCCCAAGAGGTAATTGGCTAAAATAGACTAATTGGTGGTTCAATCTCTATTCAGAACTATTGTTTTTTTAAGTTAAGGGTCAATCTCTCTGCTGGTGGAACTCCACTGACTTCAGTGGAGTTACAGCCGCTAAAGGTTGGACCATAAGACCCTGAAGTTGCTGTAATCAGAGATTGTATGTATGTTTTATCAAGAAGAGGTCAAACTTTGTGCAAGCTCACTTAGGGTCCAAGATGAGAGGCTTCCCTTTACAGCTCCTTGCACCCCTGCCCACCAGGCATGGCCCTGGCATGGGTAGAGACTGCTGTCCTTTTTAAATCCCCTTCTGCTTACTTTGGTGACTCAGACCTAATTAACTCCACTTAATTCTTGTCTTACCAAAGGCAGAGCCTCCTTCATCTTCAGGGGTGTGTGTGTATGTGTATATATGTGTATATATGTGTATATATATATATATATATATATATATATAGCAAGCATGTGCAGCTCTCAGATAGTCAGCAAACCCCAATAATACGGTAGTTACATTTTCATCACATAAGGTTTAATTAAAAAAACCGAGACCACATAAAGATAATCCAAGAAATAAAATAAGGCATCTGCTTGGCTGTTGGCTCGACAGCTGTGAGGCTGGACTAAGCATCATGAGAGAGCAAGGTGCCGTAGTTACACGGGAAAGTGAGGGTAGCAGTTGCCTTCCATGTCTGCACCTTTCTCTCCCCCAGTTCCTGATTGGATGACCTCTGCTCATCCATCATGCCTGTGGTTTCCTTCCTGGCAGGGACAGGCCCTGACATGTGAAAGCCCAGCTCTCTGGACTTCCTGAGAGGCCGCAGTCCCAACTGCATCGCTTCAGCATACATCAGTTTTCCTTAGCTCCTCTCACTGTACAGAACCAAAAGATTCCTTGAATTCTGAACACCTGTTTTTAGGCTACATTACTGCAGGGCCACTTTTCCAATCCACTCCAAAACTGAAAGTAAAATTCTAACTTGGCCCCACATCTAACCTACCAGTTTTGAAGCTGCACTAATTTTTAAGAGGGTTTTTGTTGTTTGGAGTGAGGGAACCAAATTCAGTTTATGATGGAAACTCAGTGGCAGCCTTAACTGTGGATCAGCTGCCACCATTCCAGAACAAACCTATTTTAGGCATTCTTTACACTCCCAATTCCTGACATTTAGCAATAGGGTTGTTTTTCAGATGGTGGCTCCTGCTGTGTGGTTTGTTCAGCTTTAACTTGGCAAACTTTGCTAAATAATTTACAAGCTTCCATAAATTTCCCCTCTTGGCTCTCGCTCATTAAAATGCATCTTGGGAGTGATGACACCATTTCAATACTGGATGATTTCTCGTGTTTGAGAAGTGTTGTCATGACAACCATAGCAGGTGCATGTAAAGAGAGTAAGCTTGCATTTATCTGAAAGGTTACAGCAATTATTACCATAAAGGTAAATCTCATTACAAATAACAGCAGAGTACATATTTAGTTGCATAGAGGAGCAAACTGGTTTCCAAAAGCAATTGTATGAGTTCACATTTTCTCTGTCAGGGAAGAGTGTGCAAGAAAGAGGAAAAGGAAGCATGGTTTGAATTTGATCCCTAAGCTTAATACCCCAAGTTTCTGCAGTGACCATTGATGTTGTCTTCATCTTAAATATGGGCAAAGGTCATAGAGGCTGAATAATGTATTGCCAACAAAGGTACTTTTGCCTCATGACAGCAGCCGAGCCACTTAGATCAATATGGCGTGTTGCATCTGTCTCCCCTGTGCACAGCTCCGTATTATGGAAGAAGGTGGCTGCAGTCTGCTCTGTTATGAGATATTAAATACAGCACTTAGTATGGTGACTGGCCGCCAGTGCAACCTGTGCATGGGTACTGAGCGCTCAGAGAAAAATAAAATCACTCAGTGTTGCCAACTCAGGATTTTATTGTGAGTGTCGTTATAGTTGATGTTTTACTTAAAGCCTCAGTTGCTGGTGTCATGTGCTTGCAAAGGAATCTCCGTTTTCAATTAAAATACAAAACTGTAAGTTTCCTTGAAAAGAGGAGCTGATTGGCTCAGTCGCTGTGGCGCTCATGAGTATGCATGTACCATTCTGCTGGGGAAAGATCTGAGCAAAGCTAACGAATGTCCCCCGTATATTAGGCTATAAAATAGGTGTTAATAGTGAAATGGTATTCACAATGTGATTAAACTGTAACCAGAAGGAAATCTCTGCTGCCGCTGTTCTAAGATGGTGCTTATTCCCATACTCACATGAAACAGGATGTACTGTCCCTCTAAGCCAGCCTCCTGGTCCAGCACCAGCATCCTCCAGATTTCTGCCCAGACCCTAGGAGAGCTGGAACAGAATATAGCTAGCCTGGTAGCTGCATTCAAGGGACAGCACACCTCGTTACACCACTCCTGGCTTCCAGGCACAAAACCATCTTTTCAAGCCCCTGGAGTCACCTTGGCATGGAGCAGGAATACCAGTGTGGGTATGTCATTTGGGGATCTGCCCCATTAAACCCCACTCCCTGATGGAATGATTGGGATGAAATCTCACTGTGATTTCCATCCTGTAACTGACTCGTCTGGGTTTTCCTGCAGAAGGGGGTCATCAGGCCCTGAGAGAGGTCAGTAGCCACATATGGAGTTACTGCAGAGAAATGCTTAGGAAAATGTCATGCTAACAACCCCCTTGTGGCAGAAGGAACAGTATACCGGCCGTAGCACTGCCCTGGTATCATGTGATGTGTGTCATCATGTGCCAGCTCCAGAAAACAAACCCTCCAGCACAAAACAGAAAGAGGAAGAAGCACAGAGCAGAACTCCAGTCATTACTCACCAGACTAGCTGTCCCGCATTCCCCAGTTTACTTCGCTGAGAGTGTTTTCCCCTAGTGTTAAACAGAGGGAACCTTTCAAGACACCATGTGAAAGTCATCTAATGTCAGACTCCCTCCCCTGTGCTGTGAAAACTGGAGCAAAATCTTAAATACTTTCTCCATTACCTAATAAATAACCAAACTAAGCAATTCAGCAAAATACCAAGGGAAAACCCTACAAGCCAGAATGCAGGTAAAATGCTGTGTTTAAGATCTAGTCACTGCAGTGTGTTTTCTTTGAATAATTAATATTAAAATACTACCACTCCTTTTATAGGTTTGAAAAATGTAAGAGTATTTCTCGTTTGACCTTTAGAGTGGCTCAGGGTGCAGCATGCATCTCACAAATAGGTCCTTAGACAGCAGTAGATAAATCAGGCATGTTCAACCTCCAGGCAGTGCTCAACCGTAAGCAATCTGCCTTCAGCTCGGCAGAGCCACGCGGCAGAAAACAAAACAATTACAAAGAGCTTCAAGCATGTTCTCAGCACTGTCATGTTGATATTTTCCGGAACAGCTACAAAACGGGATAAAATAGGAGACATGGGGTGGTATTTCCAAAAGCACCTACGTGATATGGGAGCCCACATCCCATTTGACTGAGGTCTGGTCTACATGGATTTATAGTGTTACCAGAATACACATGTCCGTTAGGCTTGTGGAGATTTCCCCCCAGCATAGTTACACTGGTAAAAGCCCTGTGTAGACACAGTTAGAGTGGTATAAAGGTGCCTTGTACCAGTAACTCAGTTCATTTCCCGACCCCAGAATAAGCTATCCTAGGCCTTGTCTAAATTACGGGGGTAAGTCGACCTAAGTTACACTATTCCAGCTACGTGAATAATGTAGCTGGAGTCGACGTAGCTTAGGTCGACTTACCGCAGTGTCTTCACTGTGCTGTGTTGATGGGAGAAACTCTCCGGTCAATTTAGCCGGTCTTCACTATACCCGCTAAATTGACCCCTACTGCATTGATTGCAACAGTAAGTGTAGACATGGCCCTAGTGTAAGTCCTTTTGTACCGGTATAACTGCCTCTCCAATAGGGGCATTGTACCATCTCAACTCTGCTGGGATAAAGCAGCAGAAGTTGTAAGTATAGACAAGCCCTTAGGCACTCGGGCCCAGATCCTCAAAGGTATTTAGGTGCCTATCCCATTGAAATCAAGGGGAACTCTATCCTTGAAGATCAGGGCCTTAAGAGCCTGAATCTTATTGAAAATCAGGGGTCCTAGGTTCCTATGTGCCTCTGTCACTACTGAAAATGGGGGTTAGGCTCATAAATCACTTAGGCACGTTTGAACATTTTACCCTAGGTCTGATGGGGAAGGAAGGGTAGAGAGTCCTATGCACTCTGGTCATACAGTCCCCTGGTCGGTTGTTGAACCACAGAACTCTGAGAGGATAATCAAGAGAGAAATTCACTGGACCACAGAAAAGCACTGGTTAAGGCAGGCTGCTTCATGCTACAATTGTAGAAGCCTCCAAAAGCAGCATTTTGCTACAGCCCATCCCAGCCAATCTGGGCTTAATAAAAAAGAAATGGAGCAGCATTCCAGTTGGCATCTGACAACACTTTACAGGGCAATGACAGTGTCCAAAAAGCATGGCCATGCAGTGACAGGCCTGGCAAAACGGGCTACTCAGCCTAGCGCAAAGGCCGTTTTATGAACGAAAAGGGAAAAGGGCTCCATCAGTCTGTTGACAGGAGTGGTGGTGAGAGGCTGGTGGGAGAGGAAGGGATCAGAGGGAAATGTTCTACAGCAGGGGTAGGCAACCTATGGTACGCGTGCCGAAGGCGGCACACGAGCTGATTTTCAGTGACACTCACACTGCCCGGGTCCTGGACACTGGTCCGGGGGGCTCTGCATTTAATTTAATTTAAATGAAGCTTCTTAAACATTTTAAAACCTTATTTACTTTACATACAACAATAGTTTACTTATATATTAAAGACTTATAGAAAGAGACCTTCTAAAAACGTTAAAATGTATTACCGGCACGCGAAACCTTAAATTAGAGTGAATAAATGAAGACTCGGCACACCACTTCTGAAAGGTTGCCGACCCCTGTTCTACAGTGTCATCTTGCATTTGGAAAGAGCCATTTGTTCCTTGAGGGACAGCTGTAAGAGGGACCCTGCACAAACTTCATTACACGGGAGCAAACTAAACTCTCTGAGTTCCTTCCTCCCAGTGCAGGCACTGAAATGCAAGAGTGTAAGCAAAGGCAACGTTGGCATCCACCTGCTGCTGGCTGTGAAAATTAGATGAAAACCATTTTCTGTTGAACAATGTCCATCAAAATGTATTTGCAAACAGCTCTCCACCCACCCCACTCCCCATCTCCAAGCACTAGCTGACTACCACAAGAGGAAGGATGGCCCAGTGCTTAGATCACTACCCTGGGACTCAGGTTCAATTCCCTGCTGTGCCAAACACGCCCCCCTGTGACTCTTTGCCCCAGTTCCCTATCTGTAAAATGGAGATCGTAGTACTGCCCTCCCTCTCTGGGGCATTGTGAAGATAAATGCATCAGTGATTGTAACTCGATGCTTGGATACTGTAGTAATGGGCAGGGCCGGCTCCAGGCATCAGCCCAGCAAGCAGGTGCTTGGGGTGGCCAAGGGGAAGGGGCGGCATGTCGGGCTCTTCGGCGGCAATTGGCAATTCGGCGGCGGGTCCCTCGGTCCCTCTCGGAGGGAAGGACCCGCCGCCAAATTGCCACAGAAGAAGAAAGCGGCGCAGTGGAGCTGCCACCGATCGCGACCGTGGGGGTTTTTTTGTTTGTTTTTTGGTTTTTTTTTCCGCCGCTTGGGGCAGCAAAAACCCTGGAGCCGGCCCTGGTAATGGGGTCCATAGAGAGTGACTATCCAGTGTGCATACAGCAGTGCTTGCAAGCAGCAATAGAAGAAGTATCAGACTGCAGTGTACAGTCTGACATGGCTTTGTGATTATTTATGAGTGTTCAGTTAACCTCCCCTATCCCCAAACTAACACAATATTCAGCCACTCCAACATACTAATCCCCCTTCTATCACACTCCCTCTCAGGGCACTCATCAGAGAACAACACATCCCACTGCTTTGACTCTGACCTTCTCACTTGTCATTAAGTTATTAAAGTCAACTATAGGCCTGATTCAACAAATTTAGGCACGTGCCTACTGTAAGCTACCAGCAGTCCCACTGGCTTCAGTGGAACTATTCACAAGCTTCAAGTTAGGCATGTGCTCAGGTACCTTGCTGAACTGGATTCCAAATCTCAAACGCAGTGTTAACATCACCATGCACATCCGCCAGATGAAGGATGCAGATTGATCACACACTCTACGTTACTTATATAGAAGTTTGAGGTTTCTCTGTTTACATTCTGAGTCTCCACAAAGCACATCAGCTATGCAATATTTCTGCACTGAGTACACACGTGTTGTTCAGATGTTCATATGCACAGTTCCATGTCTGTTCATACTGTCACATAATGAAGTAACAAGCTCCTCTGTCCTGCTCCAGAGTCCCTCAGCCAGTTTTCATTCATTTTTCAAGTAGATCTGTTAATTAGTTTGTGGGTTCGTCATTTTTAAGTGGCTCCTTTAAGAACACTTTTCAGTGAGTCTGACTTCTTTGGATCTTTCTCTTATGTACCTGGCCCCCATTACCACCTCGCAGTCCTTGACATATGTATTTATCCTCGTCACACCCCTGGGAGCAAGGCAGTGCTGCTATCCCCATTGTACCCAGGCCACGCTAGCAAAGTCTATGGTATAGCAATAGGCTACTACAGATTCTGGACACCCTGTCAGAGCTTCCAACGTGCAGGACATTTGTGGTACTTCCCAGCTCGTGAACAATACTAGAGTTACCTTTGTATGTTCCTGTTTGGTGGAATAGGGGAGGTTAACTGAAAAACCATAAATAAGCAAAGCAATGTCAGACTGTTCACTGCAGTCTGATACTTCTATTACCGCTTGCAAGCACAGCTGTACACACACTGGGTAGCTGTACACACGCTAGCGCTTAAAAACAGCAGTGTAGCCATGATGGCCTGGGCAGTAGCTCAGTCTAGTCATCGGAGTATGTACCGAGCCCAAATCGCCACCCATGCTGTTGTGGCCACACTGCTATTTTTAGTGCACTAGCTTGAGCAGAACTAGCACATGTACATCTCCCTGAGCTGAGAACTTGTGGCTGCTGTGCAGGCAGGGCCTTGGAGAGGAGAAAGTCACCCTGAAAACACAGTGAGGAGAATGAGTTACAGACCCATCTGGAAAATGGTGCCAGGGAAGGGGGCGAGGCTTGTAGGTGCCTGGGACAGGATCAGACATCTAGTTCAGTGTCTCTCTGACACTGGCCAGTGACAGATCCTTCAAAGGAAGGTGCAAGAACCCTGCAGGTCTGATCTCCATGGAGAGCTGATCCGAATTGTCTTTAGCCCTGAAGGTTGAGGTCTTCTATCCCTCCCATATTTCTGTTCAGGTCGTGATGCTGCTGGCCCAGGGAAGCAGTGTTCTGGTTCCTCCTAGGGCTGATGGGGAATTTTTCCCTCTAGTTTTGTCTGATTTTTCCTGTTATTGCCTTTTGGTTGGTTGTGAATGAGTTTTTACAATGATATTTGTTCTATTGAAAAGTTCCTCACCATATTGGGGATACTCAGGGCAGTTCATGCCCACCCCATCTTCCTCCATCTATTGCCAGTCCCTTATTCACCGGGAAACAGTTGCAACATAGTTACAATTGAGTCATTAAACTACAAATAGTAACAGAGGGTCCTGTGGCACCTTTAAGACTAACAGAAGTATTGGGAGCATAAGCTTTCGTGGGTAAGAACCTCACTTCTTCAGAACCTCACTTCTTATGAACATCTGAACAACACGTGTGTACTCAGTGCAGAAATATTGCATAGCTGATGTGCTTTGTGGAGACTCATAATGTAAACAGAGTCTTGCATCTGAAGAAGTGAGGTTCTTACCCACAAAAGCTTATGCTCCCAATACTTCTGTTAGTCTTAAAGGTGCCACAGGACCCTCTGTTACTTTTTACAGATTCAGACTAACACGGCTACCCCTCTGATA